TGTGGTATCCTCAGAATCTGAATGAAGATCAGTATGGCAAGAGTAGAAAATAGATTGAATGGAAGAATGTTGTGCCAGGGGAGGTAGAATATTTTATTTTTTAATTTTTATTAGTGAGACACCATGAGGTACAGTTGTAGACTTACAAATTTTGTGCTTGGGTTTCAGTTATACAATGATCAAATACCCATCCCGCCACCAGTGCCCATTTCCCACCAACACGGATCCTAGTATCCTTCCCCTCCATCCCCCATCCCTCCCATCCCCCTCTTCCCCCCCATCCCACTCTGCCTCTGTGGCAGGGCATTCCCCTCTGTTCTCTCTCTCCTTTTGGGTGTTGTGGTTTGCAAAAGAGGCATTGAATGGCAATTATGTTTGGTCTATAGTCTACTTTCAGCATGCTTCTCCCATCCTGGAAGGATCCAAGGGAGGTTGAATATTAATCTGAGTATTAAGATCCTTGTTCCAAACTGTGTAACTACATTTGGTGTATTAATAAAAACTAGTGACTTGCACCTAAACAGCATTGGACAGTATTCTCACCCCCATTTCTGCCAGCTCCCTTTCCAGAAACTGTTAGTCTCACCATCTTTATTTATTCTAAACCTTACCCTCCCAAAGGTAGGTTGTAGAGAACTTCCCATCAAAGACTGCTTTGCTGGTAGACATGAAAATAGGATAGTTGAATCATAAAATTTTATTTTCTATTGGATTAGTCTGTGATCTGAGACATTTTAAGTTAATTCAAATTAATAAGAGATGATCATGCAATTTTTTTTAATTTTTCTTTTTTTACTAGTGAAACACCATGAGGTACAGTTGTAGATTTACAATTTTTTGTGCTTGGGTTTGATTATACAATGATCAGATACCCATCCCTCCACCAGTGCCCATTTTCCACCACCATGGATAATATCCCCCCCAACCCCATCCCCCCATCTCCCCGACCTCTGTGTCAGGACAATCCCCTGTGTTCTCTCTCTCCTTTTGGGTGTTGTGGTCTGCAAAAGAGGCATTGAGTGGCAATCATGTTCAGTCCATGGTCTACTTTCAACATGCATCTCCCCTCCTGGGAGGATCCTCCAAACACCCTTTATTTGGTGTTCCCTTCTCTATCTGAGCTGCCCTTTCCTCTAGAATGCTCGACTGGCCACTAAGCTATGGAGTAATCCTCCTGGTGCTGATCTCAGCTATTCTTGGGTATTAATCCCCCCTTTAACATCATTTTGTTACTTTATATCCCCCAGATGAATGCAATCTTTCTGTGTCTATCCCTCTCTTTCTGACTCATTTCGCTTAAGAGATCATGCAATTTTTAAAATAATTTTAAATAATAAAAATATTTTAAAGAGATTTTTCTTTTTTAAACTCTCTGGAACTTTTGGGGGGTGGTAGGAACTTCCCAGGTAATGTGTATTTTTCAGGTTATTTAGTGTATACTCTCAGTGATTTCTTGGCTAACCAGACATGGGCCAGTAGTGCTAGGGTGCTCTGCTAATAGGAACTACCAGGGCCACCTGGTGGTTCTGGGGATCTACCGGATCTATACCCAGAGATGATCTGGGGCCCATGTAATGGTAGAGATCCCTGTACTTCTAAATTCTGTCACACTTTAAGATCTGTTGTCTGCACCATGCTTTTAGATTCTTAATCTCCCTTTATTTTACACTTCTGGGAGCAAGGTATATGGGAGTGGAAATTAGTTCTGCTGACCTTGGAAAAGAGGACTGTGAAAATTGTATTTTTGAGCCATTCTTTCACTTAATAGGCATTCTCAACAACGAAGATAAAATTCTTAGGCTGGAGAGATAGTATAGTGGGTAAGGTGCTTGTTTTGTGTACTGCCAACCTGGGTTTGATCCCTGGCATCTCATGTGGCCCCTGGAGCACTGCCAGGAGTGATTCTTGAGTGCAGAGCCAAGAATAACCTCTGAGTGTCGCCAGGTGTGGCCCCAAAGCAAATATAAAAGAAAACAAAGAAGATAATATTCATATTATCAAATCAAGAACTTGGCTTTTGTACTTTATTACATGTGGAGATGATTCATGGACTTCCTCATGAAGTTACAGAATTTATTTCCTCGAAAGACTATCTGCATAGTTGATTGGTAGCTTCATTGCCATGTCACACAATTTAGAATTTTCACTTTTGATACTCTAGTGTTGCCTTGCTTCCAAAGCAGTTATTTGGGCTGGTTCAGAGCGGTACACTCTGTGGTACTCTAAACTGCTTATAGGTGAGATTGGCAGCTGATCATGACCTACATACTCTACCATTGTTTGCCTCCTGGTCCATGGCTGCAGTAGAATTCAAAGTGATTAAAGCAGTATGGTTTTAGGTTTATATCTTCCAATGTATCTTCTCTTTTTAAATGATAGGTCCTGTCTGTAAGGATAACATCAGATATTCTGGTAGTTACTTTCAGTAATTTCTGAGTTGGATAACAGAATAGGTATATTGGATTAAGAAGAAGATGCCTGCGTTATCCTTATTTCCATTTGTAGGGCACTTTTCTTAAATAATAGTTAGGTAATATGTACCAGATTTCTCTGACTTATGCATATATCTGCTTTATCAGACACGTGAAATCATTGGGATGATAAAAAATTAACTAGAATTACTAAATAAATAACTTGTTGTTTGTGAGAACTCCAATATTATAGTACTGAAGTAACTTTTGATTTATCAAAGAACACATACCTTTTAATTTTTAGCATATATTTAATGGGCTGGAGCGATAGCACAGCGGTAGGGCATTTGCCTTGCACACAGCCAACATGGCCGACCCGAGTTTGATTCCTCCACCCCTCTCGGAGAGCCCGGCAAGCTACCGAGAGTATCTCGCCCGCATGGCAGAGCCTGGCAAGCTACCCGTGATGCCTTCGATATGCCAAACACAATAACAACAAAGTCTCCATTGGAGACATTATTGGGCCCGCTCAAGCAAAACGATGAACAACGGGAGGACAGTGGGCAGTGACAGTGATTTAATGCAAAATATGACAGTCCGTTTGTAATTCATGTCTTTTATGTACACGAAACGACTAACCAGTAGTTTAAATGATCAGAATATCTAATTAGAATATCTAATTAGAACATCCCATTACTTTAACATAGTTGATAATATTAAGTTTAGTAGAAGTTTCTATTAGCCAGAATGGTTAGGGAATAGGATAGTAGGCTTAATCCAGCGTTGCTCATTTAATGAGTAACAACCATTAGATGTAAACTATGTACGAAACATTGTGGGAAACATGGATGATATGCATGACACATATGTATCTGTAAGGAACTCAGTTTCAGTATTGTACATTTATTCTTGTTTTATTGGTTGACTAACATTAAATATAACAATACTTGATGATATAGACTCTAATAAATGGAGCTTATTGTATTGTTTCTCATATAGATATAAACAGTGTGGGTGTGCTGACCATACAATTTATTCTAAAAGGTTATTTTTGAAGAATTTGCTGATGTCAGCTTCTTTTTGTTTACCTTTTTAAAGCAGGCTAATTGGTTCTTACTGAAATTTTACTTTGTTAAAAAGTATAATAGTAGTATATAGGAAATATTTAGTTTTACTGCTTTTTGGTATAATTCATTAGCCTTTATGAATAATATGTGGGAAATACCATATAGAACTATGTATGTAAGTAAAAGTAAGTCAGGGAACTTTCTTTCTTGGAGCTATTTTATTACATCTTAATGATCAGTCTTTAGAAAAACATTATGCATCCAGAGAGCTAGAATAGGAGTAAGGCACTTTCCTGCCTCAAAAGTTTGCTTGATTTTTAGCAGGGTACTGAGTATTGTTAAGCCTGAGAGCAGAGTCCCAGGAGTAAACCCTAAGCATTGTTGGATGTGACCCCCAAACCCAGAGACTTAACAGAGAAAAAATTGGGGACTGGAGAGGTTGCTCAAAGGGTTATCTGCTTGCTTTGCATGTGGGAGCCATTTGTTTATTCTCTGACACTGGCATGGTTCTCTGAGCACTGCTGAAAGGGAGCCTGAGCACTGCTGGATCTGGCCCAAAAACAAAAAAGAAGAAAAAAAATTACCACGTACTAATTTTGTTTTAAAAATTTCAGCTGTAATTATTTTAAATATTTAATGTAGTGTCAGAGAGGGCGTTATTTCAGTCAGAAAAATGCATTTGTATATTTTCATGCTGAGAGCAAATGTAGTTACTGTATTGGAATTGGTAATTACTCAAGAAATGATATCCCCATCAGTGGGGGCATTGCTTCTTAAGTGCAGTTGATTAGACAAAATTCAAATATAGTGCTTTTTTCCCAAGTACTGTTAGATGACTGTTTCTTTTGTAGCTAAACTCTTTTCTAGATGAGAGGTTTAGAGTCAAGGTCATGCCTAGTTTTAGACCTAAAATCTGCTTTACCAGCAGCTTTATTTTACATCATTACGTACTTATTGCTTCAAAACTGCTTCTTAACTTACCTATGTTTTTGTGGAAGTAGTGGTTGATTCAAGGAGTGAAATGTTCTAGAATACAAAAGGATTCATCCAGAGGTTTAAATACTAAAGTATTTATAACCGTAAAATATTGTGAATACCAAATCTCACTAATATTTTTGGTAGTGAATCAAAGTTCAGTATATATATATAATTTTAGTGTCTTGAGTATCAGTGAGATTTCTGATTTTATTTTATTTTTTGAGATATGTGTTTAAAGATATAGTAACGTTAGGCTGTGTTATTAAAATTTTTCTTTTGATTTGGCAAGATGTTGTCTTCTTTTTTTTTTTCCATAAAAAAGTCTGTTGCCACACATAGTAATCCAGATATGGATTTCAAACAAAATGATCTAATTTATCCAGGTTACCATAATACTCTTAAGGAGTGTGGATTAGTCTCCATATTTAAGATAACTTGGCAATTGACTTTAAATGCTCTAGGCAAACATCAGTACTTATTCATTTGATTGACTATTGATGGTCTTTGCTATGTGTGCCTAATTATCCCTGCTTTGTTTCTGCAGCTGCAGAACCTTGGCCTGAAAATGCTACATTATATCAACAACTGAAAGGTAATTGTTCACAATTAAAAATGGTTTGTATCACATATTTATTATATTTATATTATATTTATTATAATAATAACACATATTTATTATAAAAATTTCTTCAATTATGTAATTTACTGCAACAAGAACACAAAACATTAGAGAAGGGATACTCTTGTAGCATATTTCTGGGAGATTTTATCTAAACTTGTATCTGCCTGTGAAAACTAAGTGTTCATGGCCTGTGAGGTTCTTAGTTTATTATTGACTCATTATATTGGCTGCTGTAGGCAGTGTAAAATGATGTGGTTGCAGGAGCAGTTGGCAGATTTACTGCACCAATAGCTGACACAGCAGATTTTTGAAGTCCTGTGGTAAAGTGGGCTCTCAGTAAAAAGGAACTGTTAAAATGTATAGGCTAGGATGGTTCAGGCTCCCTTTAGCAGCTCTTCATATATCATCAGATCACATTATGGACCCCATTTGGGGCTCAGCAGCCTGCTACAGTTGTCAGAAGACTGCAAAGTAATGAAGACTAATAGGCAGCAACCCTAGTCTTCTAAGCATGGAATTTTTATTGCAGCGAACTTGTCATCTTTCTTTTGTGTGACAGACCTAGACACACTGAGCAATATTAACTGCAAGCTGGTTTTATATGATTTTGAATGCTTTTACTTTTAACTAGAGACATTTGAACACATACAATCATACTTAATGAAAAGAAGAGGAATATTTCTTAAAACCTGAAAAATGAGTTCATTTTTATATGGGCTGTTTTAATTATATCTTGCTGATAAAATGCAGTCAAGGAACAGATAGTTTTAGAGGAACTGGTCTTGTTTAATTATAATTTTCATGTTATAATTTATTATAATTAATACATTGTTATAGAAATTTATAATTATGTTAGTGAGATTATGTTAGTGAAATTATGTTAGTCTACATTTTAAAATACAGAAATAGTTTTTCAAAATAAGAATATGAATATATTTGATCTTTATCAGTAAGTAGTCACACTTTTGACTCATTCTTTCATTGTATTTCAACAGGGGAGCAAATTTTGCTTTCTGACAATGCAGCTTCTCTTGCTGTGCAGGTAAATATGTAAATAATGTAATATTTCTTCACTTAGTGTCGCAATTATTTTTTCCCATCCTGACAGTTTGGTATTGTAAAGAATTTTTCTGTGATTTACCATTATGAACATAATGCCTTTTTGTGAAGTCTAATTTTATTGTGTAGCATTATTCAGTTAATTGTTGTCACTATATAAATATAATAAACATTCAGATCTTCATTATTCATCCTTTTTTTTATGAAAATCACTTTTATGCTAGATGTGTTCTGTTTCTTGGCAGTTCTTTTGCTTTTGGTGAGATGCGATGGTATTATTTTGGGTGATATGTTCATTTATGGATATAGAATTATTTTCTGGTTTATTTGTAAAGAATTGTTTATTATGTGTTTTAAAGCATTCTCATTATACTCATTATAGCTTAATATGAGCTGCCTGGTAATCATGAAAACAAGTGTATACTTCCTTTGCCACCCCTTATATATTTATTGATTACATTAACATTTGTTATCCCCAGTACACTTATTGAATGGAATAGCTGCTCAATTTATATCACAGTTGTGTAATCTGAAAAGATTAGTGGCCCTATAAACATTAAACTGAACTCCAGGAAAAATGTGATTCTTAGGGATTGTGTGCTTTTAGGAAGAGAGAGATGCTTTTGTAGTTCATAGAATTAAAATTATTCAAACATTTTATCTAGTTGCTTTTTATTTAGTTAGCTTGTATAGTATGGATTGTGAAGGGGATCTTACTATGCATCATCTAAAAGTCTGTACGAGAGAAATTTAAGACACCTGATGTTTATTGGAACAGTTTTCTTGAGAAAAGGCAAAATGGAAGGGAAAGGAGCTTGAACTTTTGCCATGTTCTAGGCATGATGTTTTGGACCATTTGATTACATTTTTTGAAGTTTAACTTGGTGCCTTCCTTTGGGCTTAATCACTATGTCTCATTATGTAGTGTATCAGTACATTTTTACTTTGTTTTAAGGCAGGGCAGAAAGGGAAAGAGGGAAGAAATGCTTGACAATGATTTATATGTATGAGTATGAGTATCTTTAAGGCATTCAGAAGATTTATTTTATATCTGTTTACCAAGAATATAAATTATGTTTATATTACTTATTTGCCTCTATTTTCTCTTTAGGCACTAGTATTGTAACTAGTATGCTTTCTTTTTATTGTTAAAATTTGAGTATCAGAAGTTCTCAATTGATTATATGCAATGAATGAGAACTTTGTAGTGCTATTTGTTAGCCTTTGGAGGTAGATGAAATTTAAGGTTAACTCTCAAATACTGATACCATAATGCTTAGTACATAGATTGTACTCAGTAAATGTTTGCTGCATAAGGGGTTTCTAGATGTAATCTCAGTCTTGACAGATAACAGCATAAGTACATTATTTGTATTTAAAATTTTATTTCAAATCTTTTTATCTTCCAAAAGATAGCGTCAAAGTGTAGGGAATATTTTAGTTGAAACACTCTTCCTATTTTTTTTTTTTTAATAAGTAGAGGCTCCCTACAGAATGTTTGGGGGCCTACCAGGATTGTACACCTGGTGGTGTGGGGTAGGGGTTGGCCATGTGATGCCAGAGCTTAGGTCCCACACATGCTAGGCTTGCACTTTCAACATTCATACTGTCTTCTCCTGCAGAAACATTTTCATTTCATTTCATTTGAAATGAAATGAAAATTTCATTTCATTTCATTTCATCATCCTGTTAATCGTCGATTGCCTCGAGCAGGCCCCAGTAACGTCTCTTTCATCCTAGCCCTGAGATTATATTCACGGCTCTTTAGGAGAATGAGACCCATCATTGTTACTGGTATTTGGCATATTTGGTAGGCCACGGGGAGTTTGCCAGACTCTGCCCTGTGGGCAGGCTACATTCGATAGCCTGCAAGTTTGTCCAAAGTAGGAATGAGATAATAAGATGTCGCGCGGCCGCAAATGCGGCCGCGCGGTTCCGGGATCTGGATTTTATAGTCTCTGAGTCTTGGCCGCTGATGGGATTACACGGCGCCAGGGGGCCAGGGGGCCAGGTGGTGGGTGTGACCCCCGCCTACTGGAATTTGGAGGATCTGGGTGGAAGATGCTCGACTCCAAATCGAGTAGGCTTGGAGGTCTCGGCCCCGGAACCCGCGTGGCTTTGTCCCTCTGCCAGTACCTTCATGTGTGCGGAGAGTGGTCTCAGCATGGTGGTGGCTGGTCCTGGAGGTCTTCGGCTGCCGTAGCCCTGGTCGGGGCGGGGAGGAAAGCTCAACCCGCTCCCCTCCAAGGGACTCCGGGAAGGAACACCCAGGCGCGGGGGCAGAGACTGCACTGTTCTCGTCCGGGATCTGGATTTTATAGTCTCTGAGTCTTGGCCGCTGATGGGATTACACGGCGCCAGGGGGCCAGGTGGTGGGTGTGACCCCCGCCTACTGGAATTTGGAGGATCTGGGTGGAAGATGCTCGACTCCAAATCGAGTAGGCTTGGAGGTCTCGGCCCCGGAACCCGCTTGGCTTTGTCCCTCTGCCAGTACCTTCATGTGTGCGGAGAGTGGTCTCAGCATGGTCAACAATGATCAACAATGATCCTGCAGAAACACTCTTTCTTAATCCTTTTTTTTTTTAAGGGGTGTGGCCATGGCAGCACCCGGTGGTGGTCAGAGTTTATTCGTGGCTCTATGCTTACAGTTCACTTCTGGTGGTACTCCGGAAACCATATCACATGCCAGAGATAGAACCTGGGTCTGCCATGTGCAAGGCAATGCCCTACCCACTGTACTATTTTTCTTGCCCCCCCTCCTTTTTTTTTTCTTCCTTTTTGGGTCACACCTGGTGATGCACAGGGGTTACTCCTGGCTCTGCACTTAGGAGTTACTCCTGGTGGTGCTCAGGGAACATATGGGATGCTGGGAATTGAACCCGTGTCGGCCACATGCAAGGCAAATGCCCTGCCCGCTGTGCTATCTCTCCAGCCCCTTTCTTGCCCCTTTTAATCTTGTTTTAAATGGTCATTTTTGTAATAAATCTTTTGGTATCTAATAAATGATATAAAACATTTTTCCAGAAAATATCCTAGTGTTCATGCACAAATACAAGCACACCATGGTAATTTGTGTATGGTTTTACAAAGTTTGCTGAAGCTGAAGCTGCCCAGAATCTCCTCTGAATATCAGCCTCTGAAAACTAAGTACTAGAGTAATTTTCACTAAATTTGGTAGGAACATATCAGTGGTTCTTAATGCATGTGTGCATATGGTACCAAAGCAAGCTCTATATGATTGTCTTTTAAACAAGGGAGATTTCTGCTCTACAGAATACATTGAGCAGTTTAGACATTTTTGGTTGTCACAGCTATTAGGAAGGGTGCTATTGGCATCTCTTGAGTAGATGCAAAGATGCTTTTGATCTCTCCAGTGCACAGAATAGTCCCTCCACAATGACATGTCACTGAGCTCCAAAGTAAATTGTGTCAGTACTGAGAAATTCCACGGTAGGCTGTCCAACTGTTTACAGTGCAAACCAAGATATGAATACTGTTAAAATCAGGGGAAGGAAAGAAAACAGAAATTCTAGTGTGTGTTTCATTTAATAATTCATTTATTATGATTCCTATTCTACTTTCTAACTGTGGCTCCTCAAATCATAGTTGTAAAAAGGACCTTTTAAAATGAAGAATTTTGTTCAACTATTTCAATTTTTTTTGTTATTCTGCATTTGTCACTTAGATGATAAATAAACCATAATATATTAAAAATTCTTGAATTTCTTCAATATTCTTGGGCTTGACAGCTGATAGTAGCCATGACTATAAATATGACTTTCCCAGATATCTGATGTTAACTCTGGAGTAATTTTATTCTATATAGTAATCCAGTATTCATTTAGAGGAAGCACTTTAAAGTATAAAGTTGATCAAAAATAATGTGACAGCTATCTATACACTGGATTTTTCTAAAAGATACCAGATGTCACACATTAGATATTTTGTCAGTTAAGTTATTGGGAAATTTAAATCTTACTTACTGCATAGACTTGGTATTTATTATAACTTCTGGAAATAAATGATTAGAGTTTTTTAATGAAAGGAACCATTATGATTTCATTTTAAAAGAATAAAATCGCTGTCCCCCTCCCCACATGGAAGTTATTTTCTCAGATTTGTTTTCCTTCTTTATTTATAGAGTAGTCTCAGTTATTACCTGCTTATAAAATGAACTTGTGCAGCTGGAGTGATAGTGCAGCTGGAGTGATAGTACATTGTGTGGAGTGTTTGCCTTGCACATAGCTGACTCGGGTTCAATTCCCAGCACCCCAGATGGTCCCCCTTGCTTACCAGGAGTAAACCCTGAGCGCCACTGGGTGTGGCCCCAAACAAACAGAAAATTCTTGCATGTAGAAGTGTAGGCGGGGATCACACCCACCAACTGGCCCCCTGGCGCCGTGCAATCCCATCAATGGCCAAGACTCAGAGACTATAAAACCCAGCTCCCGGAAGTGCGCGGCATCTTATCATCTTATTCCTACTTCGGACAAACTGGCAAGCTACTGAATGTAACCTGCCCACACGGCAGAGTCTGGCAAACTCCCCGTGGCGTACCCAATATGCCAAATACCAGTAGCAGTGAAGGGTCTCATTCTCCTAACTCTGAAAGAGTCTTGAATATTGCACTTTTTAAAAAAATCTCAGGGCTAGGACGAAGGAGACGTTACTGGGGCCTGCTCGAGGCAATTGACGAATAACAGGATGGTCGTGATCGTGTTCCTGTAGAAGTGTAGGGTATACTAAGTATTCCTTTGCTTCACTTCAGCTGTCTGTGTATACACACATTCCATTTTGAGGGAAGTGTTTTAAAATTACATTGTTAGAGAAAGAACTTTGATGATTCATTAAAAAATTTCCCCTTTCCTGTCCCTGTTTAATTGTGATGCTTGGCATGGTGATCGCTGAGAATAACATTCCTTAATTGTGGTGCTGGCTGAGAGTTGACTAATTTAGTTTTGGTGCTGACATCCATTTAGGTTG